CCCCGCTTCAGCCGCGACCGGACGATTCCTCCTTGGGGTGCCCATGTGTTGCGCTTGCTATATTATGGTGGCCACGGGGGCTATCAAAAGAAATGTGACTGATCCGCGATGTGGCAGCGAGCGGGCATGTGCCATACCCCCTGGCGGCTCCTCCTCGGCGGGACCAAGTGCCACTCCTACTATATGTGGGTGACCACGGGGCACTCAAAAGAGAACAATCTGATCAACCAAACGCGCCATCCGCCTGAGACATCCCCACCATCTGGCCGCGAATGCGGTTTCTTCTTGTGGTGTCCAAGTGCCACGCCTTAGATATCGCGGTGATCGCTGAGTAAATGAATATGATCAACCACATGCGCAGACGGCCTGAGAAATCCCCAATCTGGCCATCATACCTCCTGGCGGCTGATCCTTGGAGCGCCCAGGTGCCATGCCCTCCAGACCGCGGTAATTGCTAGGCTCTCCGAACAGATGCGTCTAATCAGCGTAAACCGCCTGAGACATCACCAAAATTGGACAACTACTGGGCAAGTGTCGTATTCCGTGGCTGTTCCCCCCTTGGAATGTACAGCGCCGGCTTCGTCGCGGTAACCATACTGTGGGTGTGCATGATCAGAATGCGAGTGTTAAGTGTGCATGTCTCTGGGAATGTTATGGCCGCATGAGTAGATGTGGGCAACGGTCTTTGTTTGAGCGGGTATGAGTATGATCAAGTCGGAGTACGACTGGATCCGTGTGGGAGGGAGTCTAAGCACTAATGGGTCTGAGTGATATTGTGAGGTGTGAGGGAGGAACGAGGTGGGATTGATGAAGCTGAGTCGCGCCCAATTTATGCCAAACGCCCATAATTGTTCAAGATCTGGGGAATGCTTCTCAGCTTGGACCGCAAACGGAGCGTCATTGCATTGTGGAGGTGCAAGCTATGCGGTGAAAGCTGCGTGGTGAAAGTTAGGTCGCGTAGTCTAGGTGGTGTGAGCTGGGGAGGTGGCAGCTGTGTTGTGCAAGCCAAGCTGTGTGAGCTGGAGGTGAAAGGTACGGAGTGTAAGCAATGTGATGCAAGCCATGTCGTGTAATGTATGCGGTTTGAGCTACGTGGTGCAAGCCTTTGTGGGCCCCGGAAACGGCAGGGCCGTTTCTTCACCGTTTCCAAAAAGATGTCCCTTGAACATGGAAACGACAAAAAAACGGCGACCGGAAACAGCAACAAAATGGCTCAAGGATTGGACCCGGAGCCGGAACTGGTCAAAAAACGGCGACGGAACCGGCAAAAAACAGCGTCGGAACCGGCAACAAAACCGGCAGAACGGAACCGGAAAAAAAAAACGGCCCTGCCGTTTCCAGGGCCCATTAAGTGTGATGTAAGTCATGTCGTGTAATGTATGCGGTTTGAGCTACGTGGTGCAAGCTAAGTGGTGAAACCCACTCTGCGGAACTTGAAGTCGTCATCTCCACTGCTCGCGCAATCATCCCACCCACCCACCCGCAACTTGGTTTGCAAAACCTGTTAAGACCGACTACGACGACACCGACGACAACGACTAGGACGACACCGACGACGTCTCCGACGACTTCGACGACGACAACGACGCGACGACGACGACGACGACGACGACGACGGAGACCGGGAACGCGACCAGACGACGACAGGGTTCGGACGACGACGACGACGACGGCGGCCGGACGACGACGACGACGGGCCATTTCGAGCGACACCCCTCACGACGATCGACGACGACGACGCAAGAGCGCGCGCGCACGCTTTTGTTGAAAATCCGTGTTGCGAAACCTTGGGTTCTTGTAGGTTTTTTGGACGCACGATTTTGAAATCCTTCCGAAACCGATGGGTTTTGAAGGTTTTCGGCATACGTCCGCGACGACGCGCGCGTCTGCACTTCGACTTATTTTTTCCAGAGGATTCTCGCGACGGCACACGCGCAAGGGCGTTCGACAGATTTCGACATGCGCGCGCACGAAGCCCGTTTGGTAGCATTTTGCGAAAGTCTTGAAAAACCTATGGTTTTCTCAAGATTTCGCAAGAGCTCGCGCGGAAGTTTTTTTAGCAAATCAGTGTTGCGAAACCATGTGTTTTTCCCAACCATCCTGTGGTGTTGGGTCCTCGTTTTGAAGAGACGGTGCCCCGCGTTCCCTCCTCCTCCTCCCGCTGCCCCCCCACCTCCTGCCATCATCATCATCATCGTCATCATCATCATCATCGTCATCATCAACATCACCATGATATTCGGCGTCATCATCAGCATCACCCTCCGCATGTCTATACTTCGGCACACCCCTCACACGGTTCGTGGCCCCATAGGGAGCTCCACCGAAGCCCCAGTGGCAGGGTTCGCATGGCGGCCCCGCCCCATTTTGGCGCACCCCTCACACGGTTCGTGGCCCCATAGGGAGCTCCACCGAAGGCCCCAGTGGCAGGGTTCGCATGGCGGCCCCGCCATTTTGGCGCACCCCTCACACGGTTCGTGGCCCCATAGGGAGCTCCACCGAAGGCCCCAGTGGCAGGGTTCGCATGGCGGCCCCGCCCATTTTGGCGCACCCCTCACACGGATCGTGGCCCCATAGGGAGCTCCACCGAAGGCCTCAGTGGCAGGGTTCGCATGGCGGCCCCGCCCATTTTGGCGCACCCCTCACACGGTTCGTTGCCCCATAGGGAGCCCCACCGAAGGCCCCAGTGGCAGGGTTCGCATGGCGGCCCCGCCTCATTTTGGCGCACCCCTCACACGGTTCGTGGCCCCATAGGGAGCTCCACCGAAGGCCCCAGTGGCAGGGTTCGCATGGCGGCCCCGCCCATTTTGGCGCACCCCTCACACGGTTCGTGGCCCCATAGGGAGCTCCACCGAAGGCCTCAGTGGCAGGGTTCGCATGGCGGCCCCGCCCATTTTGGCGCACCCCTCACACGGTTCGTGGCCCCATAGGGAGCTCCACCGAAGGCCCCAGTGGCAGGGTTCGCATGGCGGCCCCGCCCATTTTGGCGCACCCCTCACACGGTTCGTGGCCCCATAGGGAGCTCCACCGAAGGCCCCAGTGGCAGGGTTCGCATGGCGGCCCCGCCTCATTTTGGCGCACCCCTCACACGGTTCGTGGCCCCATAGGGAGCTCCACCGAAGGCCCCAATGGCAGGGTTCGCATGGCGGCCCCGCCCCATATTGGCGCACCCCTCACACGGTTCGTGGCCCCGCAGGGACATAGAGAGCTCCACCGAAGGCCTCAGTGGCAGGGTTCGCATGGCGGCCCCGCCCCCCAGTGTGGCGCACCCCTCACACGGTTCGTGGCCACATTGGGAATTCTTTTTGCTTCGTCCCACCTGCCCTGCGGTATTCACGTTTGCATATGGTTGGGTCCTTCGCCAGGATAATTGTATGTTTTTCGGAAACTCGATTGCGAAATCCTTCCGGAACCGAGAGTTTTTGAAGGATTTCGGCATGCGCGCGCGACGACGCGCGCGTGAGCACTTTTCCCCATTTGTTGCAAGGGATTCGTGAGTAAGTGTTATGTTAGAACAAAAAATGTCCCCGCATAGTGTTTTACAAGGGAACCGCAGGGGGGGGGATACCGGCTTGGCTGGGATGGTATGAACTCATATTTAGGATGGACATGTGGTCAGAATCATATGTGATTTACAGCACGCGCGGGGGACCCGATAAGTCCGGGGGGGGGGTAGAATCTATTAGTCCTTTAGAAAGGAAAATCTATGTCCTGTAAGCTCAGTGCACGGGGCGCCTCAGGGTTTTTCACAAGGGTTTTTATTTTATGTTTTTTACAAGGGAACCTCAGGGGGGGAACCCGGTTGGCCTGGGACATTGCGATTGCATATTTAGGATGGATAGGTGGTCAGAATCATATGTGATCTGCATACCCGAAAGGGGAGGTGATAACTCCGAAGGGGGGGGGGGGAGATCCTACTCTGTTATTAGAAAAAGAGAACCTGTGTCCGGTAAGCTCAGTGCACGGGGCGCCACTGGCCATCGCTCGGACGTCCATTCCCTGTGTGTATTGTTCGGTTTCGTGCGTGGTTTTTCCGCCAGATAATCATGAAGGGGCCCTGGGACACACAAATAAATACACACAAATAAACAGATTCCCTATATTTTCGCATATTTTCTGGGTTTTTGTCTTCCCCACCACTTCCCATATTTTCCCATATCTTCCTGGGGATCGTCGATTAATTGTGTCTGTGTGTTTTTTTCCCTCCTGAAATCAAGGATGCTCCTCGAGGGTCCTCGTCGAGGAAAAAATGCACACGTCCGAGCGATGCCAGGGCCCAGGGGCGGCACGGGGCCCAGACCACCACCGGGCCCAGCGGCGACGGGCGGCGGCCGGGCGGCGACGAGCCGCCCGGACCGCCGCCAGGGCCCAAGTCAACCTGAGAACACGAGGACTGGCCATCGCTCGGACGTCCATTTTTTGTGTTTTTTTTGGGGTGTCGTGCGTGGGTTTTTTCCCCAAAGGATCAAGGATGCTCCTCGATGGTCCTCGCCGAAAGAAAGATGCACACGTCCGAGCGATGCCAAGCGAGGAAGAATCGCTGGGATCAAGCCCTGTCGGGGATTGCCCGCAACGCCACAGGCGCAAGCACAGTTTGGGGGACAGGCCACAGGAAACCCCTTGGTAAGAAGCCTCTGGGAGACCCCCACGGGGATCCGGAGAAAGCACCCGTACACACCACCACCGTGCCTTGCCAGGGCGACCCTGAGCCCTGGGGTATGTATGGAGCCGACTGGTCTTGGCCAGAACTGCGTATCCATGATGACAGGTATGATGATGGTCGAAGTGTACGGTAGGTTCGTGCGGCGTCGGCGCGCGCGAAGGATTTTGACACCGCGCCGATCGTCGAACCTTGGATCGATCGCGATCCCGATCGTTCAAGGTTGAACTCCGACGGGTCCTGTCTCAGTGCTTCCGCGTCGTTCTACTGTGCGGAATTCAACCTTGAACGCCTTCGCTGGTGTCGCCGGCGCACCATCGCCGCATGAGCCTACCGTATC